ACGTAAATTTGTTCAGCCGTGGTGCGACGGTAGTCATAAAGCGGAAGGTGTCACAACACTGAGACCCGTTCTTTTCGAAGTTGAAGCTGACGGAGAGTACAGCATGTGCCTGTGTAAAGCTACTCGAAAACGTCCATTCTGCGATGGCCAATGCAGGGTATTGCATTTTTGATTGATTAAACTCCTAAATTTCCTGCTGCAAGTCTTTTTTCTTGTTAGAACGTTACAATTATCTTAGGTGGACTTGTCGGAATCATCTTTGCTTTTATCGCATATCTCTTTTCTGCTTTAACGTTGACTGCTGAATACTTTAAATAATTCAAAATCTTTCGGGTGAAGTTAGGACATGGCAGAACGAAATGGTTCAGTTGAGATTTAGTTGACCTAACCGAGGGGAAATATATACAATGAAAAAATTTAGCAGACCCAGTAGTTGATCCATCTGAGTAGACCCAGTAAAATCAGTTGTTTTCAACGTAGTAGGCAATCTTCAAAAGATCGAATGTCTGGTACGAGAAAGTTTGATCTGTGAGTGCTGCCTGAAGTTAAAACCGAGCGAACAGCATAAATTCTATAAATTGTTCCAATAATTATCAGGAAGAGGAGGACCTGGGCTGGGCTAGGGCGGGAAAGCGCTCAACAAACAAAAAAAAAACACCTCTGAAGAGCGAAAATCAAAACAAAGGAAGACACAAATCAGGGAATCATCCGGCAGCAGCTCCAAGCTGTTACTGGACAACAGGCGACAATCGAAGCGGCAGCTCCAGGCTATCGCCGCTTCCTTTTCTGGAACATAAAAAACAATCTCCATTTAATTTCTAATCACCGGTTAAATATCACAGAGGGGAACTCGAGTTAAGAGAAGGAACATTTGCATATCACGGAGAACCGAAGGACAACTGGGCATGGAGAAGGGGGTTTAGTCTTGATCTTCGTTTCCTTGTTACTTGCTCCTTCTTTTTGCAACATTCCGACAGAAAATTTAGTACTGGCATATGAATTAAAAGTAGTCATTAGCCGCTTCTTAAATAGCTGTAATTGAAAGATCGGCCAACGAAACCACTTCCGTCTCTTTCTGCGTTTACTGATGATGAAAGCTGAACGGTCTTTCATCCCGGTAGCAGTTTTGGCTTTTTTTTATCCGATATATTGTAATTTCCTAACAGAAATAAATCCTCCAGCTGCAAGTGTGGAAACGTCGATACGAGGGTCAGCCACAATACTGTGCATATGCAAAATCACCTGTATATGAGGGAGTGGCCGAAAAACTTGGATATAATCCGAAGCATGGTCGTTGGCACTTTTGAAAGAACGAGCAGCCGTCATTGTTACTATATAGCCTGTGATTTGTACTGAAAGAAATAATTTTTGGAAATCCCATTTTTGCACAGAGTCTGGTGACAGTAGAGGGGAAGAAGGCATTAAATAATGATCTGTGTGAAAAGAAAAAGTCATTTAAAACAATTCCAAAGGTACGCTTTACGCTCGGTATACGACCACTGTAGTGATATTTCTATGAATATCAGGCGGCCACTTCCTGATATCTCTATATCCCACATTTAGTGTCTTTGGAAGTTTTTAGCGCACTTTATCCCGGGTTAGCCTGCGGGAGGGTTTTTGTAAAGGAATGACTAGTAACTGAATTGAGCG